ACACACACACACACAAATTGATTTTCAAAATAAAACTTCGCTGCTACTTTGGATGTCTGTGATACCATGAAGGTCTATGGAAAGGCTCCCTCCCAGCTTCAGAAATAAAGCTGGCCTCTGAGTCTCCTAGCCACTTGTTGGCATGTGCATTTCTGCCCAATTTTCCCCAGGCTTTGTGCTCAGTCCTATGTCCTCTCTTGGAAAAAGACTTGAAACTTATATCGAGATACAATGATATAATGCAATTTACATTTTATAAGACCTGGAGTTTAAAAAAGAGAGAGAATAGAATGGAATCATAATAGGACATCTCAGAGATCTATTCTTGGGTATACTATCTTCTCCAAATCACACTGCAAGTGGCATATAAAATGCAGAGTTTGGTCATCAATAAGGCAGAGGCAAGAATTCGGTCTTTTATTCTACTAAACTTTTGTCTCTAATTCTATACTTTGATTCAATTTCTATTTAGGAAGTCCTTATAATCACTTGCTGCTAAGTGCTTTACTTATGCCTGAAAGACTGTAGAATTTTGGCAAATAATCAGTCATGCAATTCTTGAGCACTTAGAGTCATCCAGTTCAGTAGTCAGTCAATCACCAGGTAGTTATTAAGAGCCTTCTATGAGTGAGGTATTGAACCAATACTTTCTACCATTGGTCATAACATTGACGGAACAGGAGGTGACTCACTGGAGAGATGAAGGAATCTTTAGTTTTGTTTAAACTGTCTTATCATAAAGTAGTTATTTTTTATTAGCTGAGCTGACCCTATCCACAACTCCATGGATAGCCCCATGGATAGATCCAGCTCCAGTCTCTGATAGTGACCAACTAAGGGAGTTTGGGCAACATGCTTAACAAATATTCAAAGCCAGACAAATCCTAGTTTACCTGCCTGTCACCCTTTCTTCCCTCAATAGTTTTTTCTACAAATTGATTTTCAAAGTAACAACATCTGCCCATTTGAAATTATCATGTGCGACTGCACAATCTTTCGTTTATGCAACAATTGGAAAGATCTGTGTAATGTGTAGAGCTTTGAGAGTGACATTCCAAGGATGTTTATAAAGGAGTAATCACAACCTTGTCTACTAGTTTCTGTTGCTCACCTAAGGATGCTTGAAAGTCAAAGCAAGAGGCAGTAAAACATAGTGCATCTTTCAGAGTTAAGAGCTGAAAAGGAATATGTGGATTAGTGATATTTTAAAGACTTTGTCTGAAATCTTTAGTTCACTTTCCTCTGCACTTGACTAATTTGTGCCTAATTTCTTGTTTAGAAATTATTTCCTGCACAGTATTTGGCTGTTAAAGAACTAGCTGTCTCTCTGTTTACTAATTCAGTAGATGGAAACTTTCCCCTAGATTCTATCATCATCACCACCACAATTAATGTCTTTGTCATCATTATTATAATCATCATCATCATCATTTTTCTCTCTGGTTATTGTGAAAATTAATGATATGTGCCTCAGTGCAACTTAATTTAGTCGTTAAAAGACTCTTAGTAAAACATTTTAACTTTTTGAGATAACAAATTATGTCATTTACTTTTGGGGATTTTTGTGTTATTTCTTTGATCATTTCTTATACTTTGTGTTTTCTTTTTTTTGGATTTCTGCTTTGCCAGATATTGGACTTTGTAAGTCAACCCTCCAATTTCTTTTCTTTTCTCTCTGATTTCTCCCTTGTTTTTCTAT